ATTTTTAGTATGTGCTGGACTCGGTGGCTTAACGAGGGTAAATCCAAGCTACTTATTTCGTATATCACTGTTGACTACTTTTATGTACCTGCATTGTGAAGTTTCTTTAGCAACCATTTTTTCTAGAGCATTCAAAATAAGAAAAATATTACTTACATATGTACTGTATAGGGTTCGTCTCTCTCTAACTTCGCGGTGTAAAAAAAAATTACATTGGCACTGACTGCTAAACAATGATAGAGCAAGTGAATTATACGAAAAATTAGCAAATACGAATTTATACCTTTGCACATATTAGGTGTAGCGAATGAAAAAAATAAAATTATACTGTCGGATTAATCAATTTATGATATTATGAGTAATTTGATCACGGAATAATTATAATTTTTTTTTTTTGATGCAACTTACAATATTTATTCGTGCATGCGGAGTATAACGGTTTTTATCCATGCGTATCTTTTATAAATTTATTGCACACAAATTAATTATATTGTTGATATGATCGATTGGCGTTAGACGACCTTTTAATGCTGAAAAGGTTTTTATTGTTCCTTGGCCGATCGGCATTAAGCATCCGATTATGTTGAAAGGAACTTAAAAGGAAATATCAAAAATAAAGAATGCAAAATTAAAGTTTTGCACGTTTCAAGAAATTCAATTAATAATGCACACAAATTACCGATCATTAATAATTCCGTAGAATGTATGAGTTTTTCTTTATTGAAATGAATTTGCCCGAATATGACGAACAATGCTTACAATTTAAAAGGGAAGTCGGATCGCCAAACCTTTCTGATTGAATCAATTTCGTAGAACGGCGTCATATCACGATAATAAAATTCTTTGATGATACCTTTGAACTTGTACTGTTCAATTATATCGAGAACTTCTTGCGATAATTTCCCAATATTTATGTATAATCCAAGCGGCTTTCTTTTTTGACCCCACCATTCTTCTAAAAACGCATCCAATGTATCAGGCAAAATTTCGCAATTAAGTATATCCATTACAATTGTCGATAAACTTTTTGGCGCGTATCTGCCCAATAGTTCGATAGCCGGGGCTGTTTGGGTTAAATCTGATCCGGGATTCATTTGAATGTCAATTCCTTCCAACAAGTTACAGCATTTCAAGATCCTCTCCAAGGAACAAAGTGAGTCTTTTCCAACAAATATTGAAACAAATCTAAGGTTTGGGCACGATTTTGTTATGGTTCTGGTATAAGTTTCGATGTTCAGGTCCTGAATGAGGTTCATGAACTGCCAAAAAATTCTCTTGAGCGTCCCGCGTG